AGCCCGATGAACAGCGCCCTGTTCTCCTGGTCAAGAACTGGCAGCACTACCTCCATGGGAATCAGCAAGACTGCTCTGGAAGAGCTCAAGTCCGACGGCGGCGATGGATTCGGCTCGGCCATTAGCAAGACCACCTTGGTGAGCCATGCACCTGGCAGTCTGGTGTATGGCCTGGCCCCGAGTTCTTCCTGCGAGAGCCTTCCCGTGTCGGTCGGCCAGATCTACTCCGTACCCTCCAAGAACTCGGACCTGGAAAGTTCGGGCGCAGCGGAGGACGTGACCTACTCTGGCACCGCAGACGATATGCCCGCGGAGCTCATGAACTCTAATACCACGTACTACAGCTCGCCGGAAGATCTGGCAAAAACTCGACAATCGTCCGGTCACCAGGCACAGCCCGATGTAGAGTACACGGCTTACGCTGCTCATGGTACCACTCCAGCGGATCAAGCGGCAAGTGCTGCCGAGTCCAACCCGCAGTATGCCAACCCAGAAAAGCTCTTCTCTGGCTCAGGCACACAAGGTGGCACCAGCCAATGTGCATTGCCGAGTTTGGGGACAGGATGTGTGTCAGGAGGCTGCGCTTACTCCATGCCAAATAAACAACCGGAGACCGCGGCTGACCCGGAAGCAGACGGCAGCTCAAACAAACTTGCCCGGCCCCTCTCTGCCGGATAAAGCAATGCAACTGAGGCTTCCTAACTGATGATCAATGCCCACCTGTGCTGTATTTCCTCTATTTATTGTCACGCGTTTCAATTCTGTTGTCTCTGCCTCTTGTCTCGGTTCACTTGAGTGCTACCATTGTAAAATAGTTTAACCTGCTAGCGAATATCCATAGCCTGCGCAATATCGTTACATGCATACAGTACAATGCACTGTCATCTTAATGACATCATACAGTACAATGTACAGTACTGTCATCTTAATGACGTCATGCAGTACAATGTACTGTCATCTTAATGACGTCATGCAGTACAATGTACTGTCATCTTAATGACGTCATGCAGTACAATGTACTGTCATCTTAATGACGTCATACAGTACAGTGCACTGTCATCTTAATGACGTTCTAAACATACAGGAGAAAAGTAACCACAGGGTTAGCACTACTAGCATTGCGATTTACCCACAACAAGTCTTGGTGTTCTTCTCCACAATTATAATCTAATTTATTTCCTTGCTGTTACAAGGGGGAACCCCCGAAACTTCTTTTACTTGCAGATTTATTAATTTTGGTAGATGTATGCCGCGCTGGCCATGCGAGTCTCGCTTGTCTTCGCTGAGCAATCGGTGCCCTACTTTCAACACCAGTGTCATATCCGGATGGGGTACAGGGCATGGGGTACAGGGCCTAAGGAGCACGCGCCCCGCCTCAGGTTCACCGATTTTTTGGTTGAACGGGAACAACCACAAGAGGTATTCCACATGCACACGCACCCAAGCACACATGCTCAAACACTTACACACACACGCTCAAACGCACACACACGCACGCACCATGGACCATGTATACGCCCGTCGCAAGAGAAGCACGCAAATCTGCAAATGCGCTGGATGTGCACCCACGGATTTTCTCTTTATAGCAACGATAGCGGATCTGATTCTGATTGAAACGGATCAAGACAAGCGCCAGATAACGGTCTAATCCACACAACTGGCGAAGCCATGTGAATGCCCCCCCCCCCCCCCCCCCCCATGCACACCTGGTCTACACCACACGGAGTACATCAGAATAGGACGGCCAAGACAGTTACCTATGCACACCCTACACTTGCTGGGGTAACCAGTATAGACAGCACACTGCTTTGATAGAAGCAGACACTAGATGCACTGGTGCCTTGAAGTGAAATTGGAGTTATTTTACCAACCAGCCTCGGTAACTGAGTACTGGGAACCCAGAGCCAACAAACGTACCAACAACCTCAGCCATGAAAGCTATAATAGTAACGACACACTGGATTGTGGAGCCGAAACTAGTCCAACTTCCAAAATGCTTTGGCAAGAGAGTAGCCTTCCGACAGGTTGGACACACCTCAGACATGCCCATCGCGGAAGCGATGATAGCGAACATCTATGTTAGACATAGCAACTTGTGCTGGGATTACACCATTCAACAGCTTGCAAGGCTGATGAATTGATCGCCACTATTTTTAGCCTGGTATCCACCACACAGCTGTTTGAAGTGACTTTTTCTGGCCAGTGAACGCACACACACACACACACACACACGCACGCGCGCACGCACGCACGCACGCACCCACACACACACACACACATACACACACACGCACGCACACAGCCCTATAACAGACCGACCCACAACGTGTCGGAAAGATGAAAATAGATCTGATACTGGTCCAGTAGGAATCCTAGCAAAAAATAACATAACCAGCGCTAACACAGAATACGATGCTGGCCATGGTTGACTTCTGCGGCAATATGAAAATGATTGATTTTTGAGTGTAGCGTTTCATGGAAAGAGAGTAAAATTAAGCCTATATTGTGGGATCCAGCGAGTTTAATGTACACAGAGAGATCTTGAAATAGGCCAACATTCTATGGTGGGCAGCTCAAACACTGCATACCAGGGAGTAGTGAACTACCGGTACTTTACTACTCCCTGCTGCATGCCGTCCGCAGCAATTGTCTTTCACTCCTTCGGGACCAGAACAAGAAAAGAAGAAGAAAGTACTGCGGACATTCGATAGAAAAAAGGCAGCTGCACATGCACATGCGCATGCAGTGCAATTAATATTATAGCGCAAAACTATATACAGGATGGTATGAGAGTGTTCATGCATACCATATCGGACAAGCCGGAGTGAAGCAGTAGTCGTAAGACACCTGTATGTAGTGAGCGCTGTGAAAAACAAGACATCTTCCCTCAACTCAATCACGTGTGAAGCTGGTCACGTGACTTCCGAATGATGCCATTGGATTAGAGCCGAACTCACTGTACACCGCACGAGTGAAAAACAGTGTGTGTGTGTGTGTGTGTGTGTGTGTGTGTGTGTGTGTGTGTGTGTGTGTGTTCGCCTGGGTTGTTTTATGGTGCTTCATAGAGGTACGGGTTATCGCAGGTGACCGAAGAATGTCCCGCGCTGTTGCCCGATGCTGCGCCGTATGTCAAATGATAGTCAGACTCGGCCTCCACTGGACCACTCATCCTGCCCTCGGACATACGACTGCTGCATTCCCCGGGCATATCAGCATAGAGCTCTTCATCGTCATTGTTCATGATGCCATCATCGGCGTAGATCGCCCCATCGTCACCTCTATTGATGACATCATCGTCAGAATATATCGCTCCCATGCTACCTCTGTTGACGACATCATCGTCGGCGTATATCGCCCCCCTGCTACCTCTGTTGACGACATCGTCGGTGTAGATCGCCTCGTCGTCGTTGCCGTACACGTCCTCTTCTTCCCCATCGACTAGCGCACGTGTCTGCTTGTGTGCTGGGCGAGGCGGCCTGTGTGACATCTGCGACGCCAAACTACCGTCGGACAATCGCTGCGTCCTCTGGTGCATATCTACGGTGGCGGACGATGAGGTGTGGGATCGAGGCAATGGATCCGTAACGGATGTCCGAGGGCTGATTGCGGGGCTGTTGCTGCAGCTGTTAAATTGGCTAGGTGCTCGGCTAGATGCTCGGCTCGGGGCATGGGTAGCCCCACTGTTGCCTGCATCTGCCCGGAAGCTGCCGTCAGTATTGGCATACTCGTTCTCCTCCGCCGCGTCGCCGTCATCTGCACCAACACCTGCGGCAGCAAAGCATGTCGTAGGTGCAGTGAGCATGCTACCGCTGAAGGCAACGCTGCCGAGGGAAGATCGCTTACGGGGCCCAGGTCGGCTCGCACTCGCCGCACCGTCCTCGTACGCAGAGCCCTCGTCATCGCCGTTGCCGTACGTGTCGTCTCCACAGGCATCGTTGCCATATGTATCCTCGCCTTGCGAGAAAGTGTTGGCTGGGAAATCCCCTCTGGATAGGTCTCCTGGTGTTATCTCACCATGCAGGTTAACACTGGAACCGCGGTGGGTCGCAGCTCCTTGACGACGGATATGCGGGTCAGGTGCTGCTGTTGACGACGACCGAGAGCGCCAATCGTCCAATCCGTCGCGATTTGCAAGTGCCTGAGCGGCTTGTTTCCGCGAGAAGTACGTCTGATCATAGACTTCCTGCTCTGTTGTTGGCGCTGCTGAGCTGGACAAGGCGGCCGCGGCCATGATTTCCGCGGCTGATGCCAGCGATCCAGAGTTGTACATGCCGTAATCATCGTTGTCCTGCGGCTGAATCGGGATATCGGTATCCGCGTACAGGTCCTCGTCCCCGGCTGCTCGTTCTGCTGGACCGGCTCCAATGCTCAGCGCCGTACTCTCACCAGAGCCACGCTTCGAGCGCAGGCCACCGCTCGAGAGCACGGACGCCACCCTGCTAAGGTATGACTGGAGTGGTAGGTCGGTGGCGACGCTTGCCTGGCGAGAGGCAGGCATGGCCGACTCCCGCTCGTTTCTCCGCGGCAGGTGAGGTGCGGTGGTGCTGCTGTTGCTGCCGCTGCGAGGAGGCAGACCAGGCAACAGAGTGCCCGCGCGCGGTGGTAGCATCGGTGCCTCGCTCTCAGAGCGAGCAGGTAGCGAAGGCACGCGGGCATCTGGGCGTGGCGGAAGCATCTGCGCATCGTCCACAGGGCGAGCGGGACGTGGGGACATGTCAGAAGAGCAGTCAGCAGTTGCCCATGTTGCTGCGGACAACTGCACAGGCAAATCCTCGTACACATCCACATTGTCCACAGGTAAGGTTTTTTCTTCGCGGTAAGCGTCTCTTCTGCCACTGCCGCTACCGAAATTGTCACACAGGTAATTGTCCTCGACAACAGGTTCGCTTGCTGCGTGTTGCTGCTGTGCAACATCCAGATCGCCGTAGGCAGGATCCTGGGCATCACCACCAAGGCTGGACACTGTCGACACAGCACTCTGCATGCTCGGAATGGAGTCGGAACGGCCACCGGCCGTTGTCGTCCATTCCCGGTCGGAGAGCAGCAGCGACGGAGGAGCACGACCGGGCACTGCAGAGCTCTGCCAGTGCGCACTGGACTCGGACGGAAGACGTGGACGGTTGACGTAACCCGGCAGCGCTGAGGAGCTTGCTTGCTGTGCACTGGCGGAGGAAAGTAGGCGTTGGCGGCTCGTGTATCCCGACGCCCCAGAGCTCTCCAGGCGTGGACGGTTTACGTACCCTACGGGCGTCATGTCGTCTAGGCAACGCGGGGGCAATGGTGGTCCCACCGACAAATCTGACATGGACGAGGCGCCGCTGAAAATGCTCATCCTGTCGTCATGGTCACTCGGAACGCTGATCCCATCTAACTTGATGAGGGACGAGCGGGCAAGGTCGTACATTGAGTACTCATCGTTACCGGCTGCGAAGCTGTGGCGTATCTTGGATGTTCTTCCCTGTCCAGTCTTCTTGTCAATCTTTGTGTAGCCCAGCTTAGTGCGAGATGGAATGCCGTTAAACGTCAACTGAGACTTGGCTTGGCCGCTGGCGGTACTCTCCGTTTCTGACGTGTCCATCATTGCCTCCATCATCTGCGAGTGTCGCGATGCACTACGAGACATTCCACCCTGCATGCTAGCATCGCTGTTCGACCTCAACTGCAGCTTGGGCACGCCCCGCGCCAGGTTCGCTCCATCCACACTGTACAGGTCGACGTCCCGTACGCTGGCGTTGTAGATGTTGTAGATGTCCGATTTCTGAGACGCTGCTCCCAGCTGCTGGGAGGGAATGCCTAATCCCAGGCTGGACTGGATATCGAAATTGCTCATGCACTCCAAAGCGCCACCGCTGTGAAGGGTGGCTCTCGACAGGGCGGACAGCATTGCACCACCACCGCCGAACTCCATAGCGCCGCCACTGCGAATGGTGGCTCGCGACGCTGCCGCCTGCAGGCCCCCGACGGCAGATCGAGATTCACTGGCCAGTCGAAAGTTGGACACGCTTTGCATGCCGCCGAACTCCATAGCGCCGCCACTGCGAATGGTGGCTCGCGACGCTGCCGCCTGCAGGCCCCCGACGGCAGATCGAGATTCACTGGCCAGTCCAAGGTTGGACACACTTTGCATGCACTTGTTTCGTGTCCCGTACCCCTCTGTGTACACGAGCATATCCGAGCCAGACTGGTAAACGGCATTCTCAGGGACTGGCGAATCGGTCGCCGTGGGAACCATTCCGTAGAAGCTGGGAACACTGGCTCTGCGCGTCGACTTGGCGCGCTGCTGCATCACGTGGCTCTTCAAGATCTTGCCAATGTTCTTCTTGTACTTCCGCTCGCGGGGAGATCTGGAGTGCCACCACTGACGCATTGTGACGTATAGCACGCCAAGTAGGAAAACGGCAGCAACCACGTTCGGCAGGATCGTTGCCAGTCTCTTGCGTGTCGCCGCGCCGTTATCTATAGCAGTGGCACACAGCACGAAGAAGAGGGACAACAAAACAGCCACCCTGTTCTCGGAGTTTCCATGGCATCCTCTAAAAATATGACATAAAGTAAACCCTGTGACGTTCAGCCGCAGTAATTCCACTCAAACTCGTGGTGGGCACAGCAATTTACTGATTGTCCCAGCCAGCCCAACTGCATACCTTGCCAAACGTGTTACCTATGCTGGGACCATCTTATGGAACCAGCTCCCCGCTGCGGTCAGGCAAGAAAGAAAACGCAATCGCTTTAAGTCAATGGCTCTTGCCTTTTTGCTTACCAGATAAATAAGCCTCTTTATAAATGCTGTATATACTGCTCTTTCCGTTATTTTCTTCCTATGCAAGTCGCAACTCCTGTTTTGAGTTGTTTTTCTCCTCTCTTTTTCTTTCCCTACTAGTTGCTGTTACACTCACTGATCCTTATGCACAGATATACAGCATTCCCTCACTAGTGGGACCATTGTTATTAGGCTAGGGCCTGTTTTGGACTTCCCACTCTAAATAAAGAATACAAACAAACAAACCGACCACCCCTTGGTGCCAGCAAAAGCGGTCTTTAGTAGCAGGTGGTCTTTAGTTAGAGGTTTGCACCGCGCAACCATATTATGGGTCCCATTATATGATATGTATGTCAAAATGCAGCTACTACAATTCCCCAGAACTTGCACAATGCCATTCTGATTTCACTGATTTTCAGGTAAAACAACACTTGGAGAGAAAGACGGAGAAATGGAGAGAGACAGAGAGAAGATTATTTTTTTGCAGACATCAGATTCAGCTGCTACTTCTGAAGCCAGGAGTCAAACGTTCCCTGTGGAAGTTTCGTTTTGCGCTGGGCTTCAAATTATTTGTTCATGCGATCAGTCGTACTGACTATCCTTGTTGTGACTTTTCGATTGCTTGAACGCGATCCTTCAGCATCAGGACCTTGAGGTGCTGCTTTGTTTTTGAATTCCTTGATGCCCGGGGGGGGGGGGGGGGGGGGGGGCATCGTCGATTCATCTGTATGACTGGGGTGACATATCCGTTCAGTCTTCGTTTCTCCTCTGAGTAGTAACATCGATCCGAGAGCGCTTTCGATGCGCTCTCCAAGACGTTTCCGATCATGTTTATTCCTGACAGCACTTGAAATTTCGACAGGTGTCCACACCGACTCCACAGTCAAAATGACCTGCGTTCATTTGTTCAGCTGTAGTATCGAAAGATTCCTTTCAGGACCATGAAAAATCAGCAAAATTCAAGAAGGAGCTTCAAGCAACATTTTGATTTCCTACATCGCGGTCGCTAGTTACGGGTCAAAAATCGTCTGTGGGACAAGAAAAGGCGGTCACTGGTCGCGTTCAGCGAGTAGTCGCTAGTCACAGTGCATTTTGAATGTGAGACCGTCCGTGCCTGGCGAAGTGGTCGGTAGTACCAGGCTGGTCGCTAGTCACGGTGGTCTTTAGATACAGGTTTTACCAGTGTACCTGGGATTTCTGCAGCTTACAACCCATAGTCATGGATACATGCATCCGTGCCCCCCCCCCCCCCCCTCCACACACGCACGCACGCACGCACGCACGCATGCACACACACACGCACACACACACACACACCTTGACCTTGTGACGCCCATCGCCGAAGGCGATGATAACAATGCTACGGCAGACGCCATAGCAACTTGTGCTGGGATTGCACCATTCAACAGCTTGCAAGGCTGAAGAATTGACCGTCACTATTCAGCCTGGTCTACACCGTCCAGCTATTTGAAGTGACTTTTTCTGGCCAGTGAATCCCTATTTTTGGTCTTTTCCATTTTTTCTTCTTTTTTCGCACACACATCACACCACATACTCCGGCATGCACTGGCTCACACACACATGCACGCACGCACGCGGTGCGCGTGCGCGCACACACACACACACACACACACACACACCAACCCATTCACACACACCCACTCCAATGCCCACCCATAATGCTCCCCCCCCCCCCTCCCACACACACACAATGGATCTGGTTGTAACCTGTGTGGAATAAAAGCTGCAAGTGTAACATGTTGCACATGTTCCGTTTGGCGTAGTAATATTTCCACTCTTGATTGTAGCTAGGAATGTGACTCTACTTCATGACATGTATGCATACGTCATTTGTACACACTCACAGGCACACACGCATGCGTATCTTTTCGTTGGCTCGCTCTGTTATGATGCTGGTTTTCCTTTTGCTTCGAGAGAATGTTTTGGACTTGAGAGTTGCAGTTTTGATCTCAACGTCTTGTCATGGTTGGAACTGGTGCCTGGCTGGGGGCTGGGGAGTTTACGCTCCTGTGAATGTAATTGTAACCTCAGGCCAAGGTTACACGTGGTGGCAGCGAATTCGAATTCCACGTCTTGTGAGAGCACGCGTACCAAATTATTTGTGGAAGATTGATCGTGTAGAGATGGCTCAGCAAGGTGGCGCTCCTCCGCCCCCTCCACCACCACCACCGGGCCCAGCGCAACAACCAGCACGTCAACAACAGCAGATGCGGGCATGGGCCACGCCAGAGAAATTCTCTGGCGAGCGCAACGCCGACTGGACATCATGGATTGGCCATTTTCGCCTCGTCGCGAATGCAAACAACTGGACACCGGCAGACCAAGGCAGGTACATTGGGTTGTACCTCACCGGCCACGCACTGTCTTACTTCCAAAGTTTGGAAGCCCATACGAGGACAGGCCCATTCGACCAGCTGCTGCAGGCGTTTGAACAGCGATTCGGCGACGCAAACTTCATCCCCACGTTCAGAGCAGAGCTGCAGTCACGCCGGCAAATTCGTGGCGAGTCCCTGTCGGATTTTGCGGAAGTCGTCCGCAGGCTCAGTAGACGGGCGTACCCCACGGTGGCTGGAGCAGTGCAGGATACCCTGGCGCGCGACACCTTTGTAGCCGGCCTTGACAGCAGGGACCTGCGCCTGCATGTTCGTGGCACGGACCCACCAACATTGGATGACGCACTCCGACGGGCTATGCATTTTCAGTGCATCCTGGAGGCAGACCAGCAGCAGCAGGCAGCTAGCCCAGTTGTATGTGCGGTGCAATCTCAGCCCAGTGACCCTACACTCAACGCCCTGCTGTCGAGGATGGCAGCCCTGGAAGACAAGATCTCCAGGCTCACGCTGGAGAGGCCAACTAATCTGCATCGGAGTGGAGATGGTGACACCAAGCGGTGCTATGTGTGCGACAGCACACTGCATTTCGCACCTGACTGTCCGCACCAGAGATACACACCGGCTAACCGTGGTGGTCACCGGGGTCGTGGACGCGGTCGGGGAAACTGAGCGTCGCTGACAACCAGGGTCCGCCGTCAGCAACCTCCCCAATGGACCCATGTACCGGTAAGCAGAGTCAACCGTGTTCGGTGTGTCATGAGGCTGTCTGCTTACCTACTGAGACAACTTGTAAGGCCTGCACAACTACTCCAGCCGAGTGTCCAGACAACTCGATCGTCCTGCCTCTGTCGTGTCTTGCAACACAGTCCGACAGCACGGTGCAGATCCAAGGCACGGTCGAGGCTGTGCCAGCCAACATGCTTGTGGACACCGGCAGTTGCGTAACGTTGTTGAGCACCAGCTTTGCTAAGTCTCTCTCTCATCGTAATGTTCATTTATCTATCTCACCCGTTAATACTGTTCTTAAAGCGGTAAATAATTCTTCTGTTCCTGTGCTCGGGGAAGCTGTCGTATTGTTAGCAACTGGCAAGCTTGCTGTACGCCACAGAGTCATTGTTGCTGACATTATGCCCGATGTGCTAATCGGCATTGACTTCTTGCAATCTCATGGCTGCACAATTGATTTCGGTCGCAACATGCTCGATGCAGGCGGTGTCGATGTACCCCTAGAGCCCACCCATAATGCTAATCCTGTAGTCTGCCGTGTTCATCTTGCTAATTCGGTTACTGTACCAGCATATACACAAGTCATTGTTCAAGCGCAGCTGCGTACCGATGATAATCATTTACCTAGCTCTGCTGGTTTTGTTTCACCTTCAGAGAAGTTTATTTCCAAGTTTAGCACTGCTATGTCACGTGTGGTGGCTACTCCTGACTCTGCTGGCCGTGTTTGGATTCGCCTACAAAATTTTCTTCCTCATTCCACAACTGTCCCGAAGAATTATCAAATTGCTGAATTTGATTCTGATATTTACATTGACGATGATCTCAATGATTCGCCTACGCATGCTGCCTCTGTTGACGAGCATAGCTGTAACGCAGTACAGGAAGAGAGCTGCTCACCTTCCGAGCCAGACGATTTATTTGACTTACGTCACCTCGATCCGCAAGCGCAGTCTGCTATAGCTACTGTGCTCAACGACAATGCCGATATCATCTCGCAGGGACAATTCGACCTTGGGAAGACTGATGTAGTAACACACAACATCCAGACTACATCTGATCAACCTAAGAGACAGCCACCCCGCCGAATTCCTCTCAGTCAACGAGCCGAGGTAAAGCAGCACGTTGATCAACTGCTTGATCATGAGATTATATCTCCATCCAGAAGCCCTTGGGCTGCTCCGATAGTTGTCGTACGCAAGCCTGACTCATCTATCCGGCTATGCATCGACTACCGGCAGTTGAACAGTATCACCGAGAAGGATGCCTTTCCCCTTCCTCGTGTGGATGATGCTATCGACGCTATGGCTGGTGCACGCTACTTCTCTACCTTAGATCTCGCAGCTGGCTATTGGCAGGTGGAGATAGATGAAGCTGCCAAAGCTAAGTCGGCGTTTGTGACACCGTTCGGATTATTCGAGTGGAACCGTATGCCGTTCGGCCTGTGTAACGCACCGGCAACTTTTCAACGCCTCATGAACCGGGTCCTTGGTGACCTAGTACCCAATATCTGTCTGGTCTACTTGGACGACATTATCGTGTTCTCATCAACGATTGAGGAACACATGAGTCGTCTGCAAACAATATTCAGTCGTCTTCGTCAAGCTGGCCTCAAGATCAAGCCCAAGAAGTGCTCACTGCTTCAGTCCTCAGTCACGTACCTGGGATTCTTATTCTCAGAGCAGGGTGTGGCACCGGACGCAAGCAAGTTCACGGCTGTTCAAGACTGGTCATCCCCAACATCACTGAAAGAGGTGCGTAGCTTTGTTGGCTTCGCATCGTACTATCGCCGCTTTGTGCCACATTTCTCAGAAATTGTAGAGCCCCTGAACCGTTTGTCCCAGAAGAATGCCACTTTCAACTGGACAGATGAGTGTGAACAGGCATTTGCTGAGCTGAAGTCCCGACTAGTCAAGTCACCTGTTCTGACATATCCTGATCCTGCCAAGCGCTTCATCCTGGACACTGATGCGTCAGATCTCGCCATGGGAGCTGTTCTCTCGCAAGTCAATAGTCACGGTGAGGAAGTAGTGATTGCCTATGCCAGCAAAGCATTAACGAGATCCCAACGTAACATGGGCAGTACACGCAAGGAGCTGCTTGCTGTTGTCACATTTACTGCACATTTCCGCCATTACCTACTTGGAAATCAGTTCACATTGCGAACTGATCACAAAGCGCTCATCTGGCTACATTCGTTCCGGGAAGTGGACGGTCTTCTAGCCCGGTGGATTGAGCGTTTGGCCGTCTTCGACTACGTCGTCACACATCGGCCCGGGAAGCAGCATGTCAATGCAGACGCCTTGTCAAGACTCCGCTACCACAGCCCGGCTACCGCAACCTCACCGACGCCAACGCCCGAGCAGAGAGTAGGTGAGCAGAATATTGTTGTCAATCACCTGTCTAGCGCTAGTCCTGATAGTAATCCTGTAACAGTCAATGCTGAAGTGTCGCCACCCAATTGGTGTGAGTCTTTCACTGTTGAAGAGTTGCGCAGAGCTCAATTAGAAGATGCAGATGTGAGTACAATGATCGGCTGGCAGGAGGCATTACTTGACAGGCCCCTGCGTAGTGATTCTGCCATGCACGGTGCGTCTATTGCATTGATACGATTATGGAGCCAGTGGAAGCGTCTTAGACTGATTGATGGAGTGTTGTACCGGGTTTACCACCCCGAGAATAGCGACACACCGTACCTACAATTTGTTGTACCACAGTCTCTGCAATCCCGCATGCTTCAGTCTGTGCATGCTGATGTCTCTGGAAGCCACTTAGGTATTGAGCGAACACAAGACAAGCTTCGCAAGCGGTGTTATTGGCCCTTCATGTCGTCTGCAGTTAGTGATTTTTGCCAAGCATGTGATATTTGTGAGAGCCGCAAAGCACCGCTACCAAAGGCCAAAGCCCCGCTTGTCCAAGACCGCCCATCATTCCCGCTAGAGAAAGTTGCTATTGATATTATGGGCCCACTGCCTACTACGCCTAGCGGTAACAAGTATTTAGTCGTCATTTGTGACTATTTCACTAAGTGGCCAGAAGCGTTTCCTGTACCGAATATTACTGCTGAAACAATAGCACATGTCCTTGTTGACGGCTTCTTCTGTCGTTATGGTATTCCATACCAGCTGCACTCTGACCGTGGTGCGCAATTTGAGTCGAGGTTATTCCAGCAGATCTGTCAGTTGTTGGATATCAGAAAGTCACGTACAACAGCATACCGGCCCCAGAGTGACGGCTTAGTCGAGAGGATGAATCGCACACTGGAGCAAATGCTGGCTGCTCACGTCGACGACCACCACACCAATTGGGACCGTCATCTGCAACGTTGTCTGCTTGCCTACCGGTCTAGTGTGCACTCCTCGACCAAGGAGACGCCAGCGATGCTCATGTTAGGTCATGAAATCCACCTGCCAGTTGATGTGATGTTTCAGTCACCAGACTCTGAGCGCTCCCATGTGAACACGTATGTTATCAACTTACGACGCAATCTACAACGAGCGTTCTCGCATGCCCGTGATGCTGGAGCAACAGCCCAGCGACGGCAGAAGGCCCACTATGACAAGCACGCTAAACAACCGAAACTCAACGTTGGTGACATGGTTCGGTTGCATTCTCCTGCCGTCAAACCAGGTACGACTTCCAAGTTCCATCGACCTTGGAAAGGCCCGTACACTGTGCTAGAACGTGTTGACGATGTAGTACTTCGGATAGCTGACAAATCCGGCACGACCCAGACTGTTCACGTTGACCGTCTGAAGGCTTGGACTGGCTCTGATCTGCCTGCAAGTGCCAATGAGCTCGTACCGAACTCGCCTCCGACTTCTATTGCCGACTATACGCCTGATGTTGAGTATAATGTGCAACCAGTACCAATCCCGGCTCCAGTGCAGGCGCCACCTGCACCAGTAATTGCTGCTGCGCCGGTGCCGCCACCAGCCGCAGCACTGAATCATGCACCTGTGCCTGTTGTGCACCACTATGATCTGCGGAACCGTGCAAACATTCAGCCGCCAGCAAGGTTTGCTCAGTGAGTGTCTATGACTGTACAGTGTGATTATTGAGAAATTGTACATTCTTAGTTCAGAAATACACATATTTCACACAGTCCTACCTGTTGTTAGGTTAGTATGAATAATGTCGAGCATTTCACTTGCTGTTTCACAGTCCACTTACATAGCATTAGTAGTTTCTAAACTTTCCATTATACCTCACACCGATTAACTACACTTGTACCATACTTGCGCCACACTATTTCACTTTCCAGTATTTAATTTTCTCATGTAGAAAGCTATCACGGATATGCTCTAAGCTTTGTAACTTTCGGTCACTATCGTTCCCTCTGTAACGAGGGGGGAGGTGTAACATGTTGCACATGTTCCGTTTGGCGTAGTAATATTTCCACTCTTGATTGTAGCTAGGAATGTGACTCTACTTCATGACATGTATGCATACGTCATTTGTACACACTCACAGGCACACACGCATGCGTATCTTTTCGTTGGCTCGCTCTGTTATGATGCTGGTTTTCCTTTTGCTTCGAGAGAATGTTTTGGACTTGAGAGTTGCAGTTTTGATCTCAACGTCTTGTCATGGTTGGAACTGGTGCCTGGCTGGGGGCTGGGGAGTTTACGCTCCTGTGAATGTAATTGTAACCTCAGGCCAAGGTTACACAAGTATCCAAAATAGACCAGCACCGAAAAAATGCCTCACCACAAAGGGCACAACGCCTCACCCCAAAGGGCACAACCTCACCCTACCGGGCACAATGCATCACCCCAAAGGGCACAATGCCTCACCCAAGGGTACAATGGTCTATCCCAGACGGGGCCTATCCCTTCCCTCGCACAGTAGTCGTGCACTCACCCTGACACTGCCCAGTGCCCTGCCACTCTCCCCGGTCCGTGCCCACGGCCGTGCACCAGAAGCGGACCTCGCCGTGCGGTTCAAGGTCCTTGTTGCAGGAGAGACGTGCAACGGAATCCACAGTGTAGCCATCCGGGAATGTGAGCTGACCCTTTTCAATGACGTGACTCTCCGGACAGTAAACGGTGTTTCCTACAAGAGAAGACAAAAGACGCATGAGATTATTAATGACAGTATGTGGCCCACTGATAAGCCCATTGTGCATTGCCAAATATGGATGGCATGAGTTCTGCGTGTGAGTGGAGTACGCTGAGATCAGCAATGCGCTGTTCAACACCCCACATGACCATACCCAGGTGGCTGTGTGGAGTGTTTATGTTGACAAAATTACGCCAATGCACAAAGGGCTCATAAGCGGAATGGCGGCCGCCGAAAGCCTCACTTACTCTTGCACCCGACAGTGTTGTTCCACCTGCCCGTCACATTCGTAACCGCCAGGCACGTCGCTTTCAGACTATCGTTATTCACCTCCGAGTAGCCAGGGTGACATGTCACCACGGCTACAGACTCGATTTCCCGTGCGGCGGTGTACGCTGTTGAGAAGCCTCTGCCAGTGATGGGCGGACAGAAGTCTTCGATGACTGCAGGGAGAAGCAGACAGCAAAGCACAACGGAAACAAACCGTTCAATCTTCGTCACGACTACCGGCCTACTGTATAAGTACAAATTTTCGTGCACGAAATCTTTCGTTAGATCACTCCGCCAGCAGGTTTGTTACGTACTAAATTTCGTTTTTGGTCGAGGTCTGTCACCCCGAATGTTCAGAAAAAAACTTTAGCTTGGTACAAACTTTAGCTACTGTAAAACATGTAATTTTAGGGACCATCGCAAAAGTTCGCAGAAGCCCCTGAAACGAAGAGCATACGTTTGGGGGGAGGGAGTCGGTGTCGAAAATCGCAAACCGGGCTTCAATTCAAAAAAGTATTGACGACATGTACATATGTAGGAGCTGATATAGATTAGCATGCCATCACAGCCGGCGTAGATCGCTTGTCAGGACGCGTAGTCCATTCATGCAACCGCGCGTGTCGCGTAGCTGGCTGCCTGTACACTGTGTGTAGTCTAGTACCAAGAGTCCATAAAACGCGTGGTTTATGGACTCTTGCTAGTACTAGAACTAGCAGGGGTTCATAGGGTTTATGAACCCCTGCTGTGTAGTATATTATAATAATTATTATGTGTGAGCATCCAAGTGAAATAATGAAGCCCATATTGTGACTGTCGTTTCGTTTGAGGGGGGAGGGAGGGGGGTCAGGCCCGAAACTAACAGTCTTCGTTTCGGGGGCTCCTGCGAACTTTTGCGATGGTCCCTTAGGTGCATAACATTTCGGTGCCAGGGACCTGCCAGGTTTCAGGTGGGATTTAGAATTAGGTGACCAGCGTTCCCTTCACATACAGTGCATACTCTAGTGCCTTTTAGGTGTAATTTAAATTTAGGTGCCTGGTTTCTCTACCAAAATCACCGAAATTAAAGTTACACCGAAAATTGCATGTTTTACGGTATTTCGTGCCCCCTAACGAACATAGCGCAATTTAATTCCAAACAAACCTTTGTACTTATACCGCATCTAAGAAGTTGTATATCCCGTGCGGTGCCGTGGTACGAAAGTAGGGATTCACTGGCCAGAAAAAGCCACTTCGATCAGCTGTGTGGTGTAGACCGGGCTAAAATTAGTGGCAGTCAATTCATCAGCCTTGCAAGCTGTTGAATGCTGTAGTCCCAACACAAGCTGCTATGGCTAACATAGCTTGTTCCCTATTGTCGCTTCAGCGATGGACAGGTGGAAGTGGAAGAGGAATTGACATGTGCAGTCAATTTCAAATCGAGACGCTACGCGTTCAAAGCCCGAGGACTATGGACACGCCGGTCTGCCCGTTCTCGTTCTTATTCTTCTGACTAGTGTGGGCTTGTGTCCGACTGGCCACACGGTGCAGGCTCAAGCTTGAGTGGCCACACAGATCTGCCGAAAGCTACACAACCCAACTCACCATCGCAACCACACGACATGTTCCACACGCCAGTGGTATTCGTTGGCAATGAGACGACGCATTCTAGCGACGTCGTGCATTTGGTGGCGTGCCCTTCACGGCACGTGAGCGTAGCAAGTGTACCGAGACGATATTCAAATGAGTGTGAGTACGCGTAGCTGCCGTTACTGACTTTCAGCTGAGGACAGAAATCTGGAATATCTGCATAAACAACACATACAATAGCAACATGCCCATGGTGACATATACACATGCACACACATTCACACACTCATGGACGCATGCACATACTCACGCACAGACGCACATGCACACATGCACAGACGTGTTTGTACACATGTACATGCACACGGACACACACATATGCACACATACACACACACACACATACACATATGTGCATGTGCATGCACGTGTACACAAACATGTATACACACGCACGCACGCACGCACACACACACACACACACACGCACGCACGCACGCACGCACGCACGCACGCACGCACGCACGCACGCACACACACACACTCTTGATCAGTATAAGTGCATTGTAGAGCTTGAAAGGGATGAAGTTGGAAGTCAACAAATTGCAACTTCTGTGTTAAAGCGATAGATTCTGACTATAGTGAAGTCCTGTGTCTGGTAGACAGAACCCGGCGTCGTACACAAGTGTTACTTCTGTTCCACCAGTAACAGTCACTCTTGTGCATGTCACCCTACTGTGTACCACTCGATCCAAGTGAATATACGAATCCATACAAAAACTAAACCGTGAATGGATTCAGAATAATGCGTTGTCACGACCACAACCAATCTTTAATTTTATGAGAACAACAAGTCACGGTTCGCATGAGACTCGGGCTAAAGGCCGAGTTCTCCGCATCCGTAGGACAGCCACCATCGTTCAAGGATCATGGATCAAGGCCTATCTGTAACAGGGTTCTAGCCAAAGGGGGTAGGGGGGGGGGGGGGGGCGCAGCGCCCTCCTACTCTGTTTGCGCACCCCTTGTGAAAAATTGCCCCCCCCCCCCCCTACTCATTTTCCGATTTTCGTGTTTTTCATGCATAGATGGTTCATAAAGGCACATTTGTCTGGGGTGAGTTAGGGATTCGCCCCATACGTTGCATTTGGCGTCGCAAGACAATATTGGAAAGTGGAAAAATGGGATATAGGGTAACTGTTTCCCATGCCCACCCCCCCTACTATTTTGACCTGGCTAGAACCCTGCCTTATCCAGGGTGCACTCTAATTGAAGTGCTATTGCAATACTTAAACTGTGATTTCCATCCAATGGCATGACTCCAGCCTGCCTACAACGGGTACAATTTTTAAATTAAAGTTCCATCGCGAGCCATATACAGTAAAACCTGTAACTAAAAACCACCGTGCCTAGCGACCGGCCTGGTACTACGGACCACTCCGCCAGGCACGGACGGTCTCACATTCACATTATGGTTGTGCGGTGCAAACTTCTAACTAAGGACCACCTGCCACTAAAGACCGCTTTCTCTGGCCCCAAGGGGTGGTCGTTCGTCACAGGTTTTATCGTAACTGTAAATTCAAAACCGTACTTACACGAGCAGTTCTGTTTTCCAGCCCAGTGCGAATGCGTCTCGTTGTGTGTCTCACACTTGTAGTCGTATCCGGTCAGCGAATGGAAACCGGGTTTGCACGTCAGCCGGGCGCTGGAGCCCGCTAGCGACTTGGCCTGGTACTTCAGCTGTCCATTCTCTATGGGTCTCTCCAGGCAGTAGACTAGACAAGGCATAGGGATCAAACACAGCACAGTAACTTATATTACCGGTAAATGATGAACTGGGAAAGATACAGGGCAGTTGAGCATAGAACAAAGCAGGCTCCATTGTCAAATGGCCACCTTTAAAGTGGAGAGGGGCACACATACACACGCACGCACGCACACGCGCACACCTTGAACCTTGAACGCCCATTGCCGTAGCAATGATAGCGATGGCTTCCTCACGCTGAGGCTCTAAACTCGAAATCTGCAGTATGGCGCATGCCGCTTGAGGTCACCAGGACGACGGAACACTCTGTCACAGCGGTAGTTGGGGCACGGGATGTCTGGGGCTTCCTTCTTGACCCTCTGTCGACAACACTGAAACCAGGTGGATCTCTCCTGCGCTGTGTCATACCAGTCCGCTTCAGGCAAACCGATGACAGCAAAGTTCAAGGACACAACATCCCGCCAGCGCTTCTTGGGACCATGTTGCGGGCGTTTGCAGGGCAGTTCGCCGAACAGCATCTGCTTGGGCAGCCGGGTCTCCTTCATCCGTGCAACATGACCAAGCCACCGCAAGCGGTGCTTCCTGATCACATCGGCCATGTCGACGTCCACCCCTGCCAGCTCACTCAGCGATGCTGACGACAATCTCTCCTCCCATTGCTCACGACGAGAGATACCGAGAATTCACGCGCACACACACACACACACACACACACACACACACACACACACACACACACACACACACACACACACACACACACACACACACACACAAGCACAAGAACACCGAAGTCATCCGATCCACCCACCTCTGCACTCCATTGAAGCATTCCAGGCTCCCTGCACTGGCCCGCCCGGTTGGCACACAAACTCAGAGCCATGGACCGGTACGTAACCAGGGTAACACGACAGCGTTGCCATGGAGAGGATGGACTGCTTGTTTGAATAGCGAACAGTGCCATGATCCACAGTCACTCCTGGACAGTATTTACTGATGGCTGCACAAGCAAACGCAGAGCAACACAGGTATATCGGACAACAGCAATACAAAGTTGATGGGACGCAGGCGCGCCGGAACCGGTCCGGTTGGTCAGGCCATCACCGGATTAACTTGTTGGCCACCCTACAATGCATGTTTACGCCTATGGAGGTTGTACGTTTAGGAAACTACACTTCTCAACTCCAAAAACGGTCTCTTCACTGCTATTCAAATTAAAATTAAGATTTTCATTAGACGTACTCACTATATTATTATGGTTGATAAATATGGTGGTAAAGACACACCTGGCAATATGGCGGTAAACACACGCCTGCCCACACACGCTCTCTAGGCTGCAAAGTTCTGGCACAGAGCTCTCCTTCTCACCGTGAGGTGTGTCTTTATCGCCATATTTATCAACAATAAGTACAGCTGCAGTGGTGTCTTCAACTTCATTCTCACTATATCATACACAAACTGTATGAAACGGCCACAGTCAGGCAAGACCAAGCAAACACACTGCCTGCGCCGGTCCTGGGTTGGACACAAGCTTGCATTATGTTCACTGCAAAAACTTGACGTTCCGCGAGCGATTTAAACTTGGTGCCACTTGTGCGAACACCATGCGTGCGTTAGCAAATAGAGAAGTCCCGAAAAGACCGCCTGGGTTCGTGAAAAGGGACAAGAGCGCACGCAACCCAGGGCTAGTCACACGCGTCATTAATGTGTTCTTTACATGCTCCCTGCAAGATTTGGTTACATCGACGAAAACAGTTTGCCGCAAACGATCAACTTGCATGGGTTCAAGCAGGAATGTGGACATTGGGTCCCTAGATCACGGAGTTTGATACGTGCAAGGTCGTTTGTTACCGGTATACATGCACTGGATTATACGTTCCTTTTTAAATTTCTCAACATTCTGCCACAGCACCAGCAAAATACAAACAGGTAGTGTAGTGAGAAATTGAACCCTAATTTTACATAGAAGCGAATGTGAGAATGGAATTAAATAAAGGGGTTTAGAGGGAGGAGGAGGAGGAAGTTCGAGGGAAACACGTCCAATCATGCGGACATTCTGAATATGCAAACAGACTATAAGATGCAGCAAGTTTTTTTCTCATCTTACCACTGCACTTGGGCTGTGCACTCCAGTCACCGTGTGTACTGTTGCTGGCTGTACATGAGAAATCCGTTGCCAGGTCACTGGGAGTATAGCCTACATGACAGTCCAGCTTGGCTGTGGAGTCGTGTATGCGACTACTGTCTCTATGCGTCACCTTGCCATTGGATACGGACAACACTCGACAGTAGCGGGGTATAGCTGTGATGACAGGCAGAACACAGCAAGAACGGTCACGCACTCATTCACGTATAAACGTCATGTGCAGATGTACATATTTATATAGATAAGCACACACACACTCTCGCACACACGCGCGAGCACACACACACACACACACGCACACACACACACACACACACACACACACACACACCTCAGACCTCAGACCTGCCCATCGCGGAAGCGATGATAGCGAACAGCTATGTTAGACATAGCAACTTGTGCTGGGATTACACCATTCAACAGCTTGCAAGGCTGATGAATTGACCGCCACTATTTTTAGCCTGGTATCCACCACACAGCTTGATTGAAGTGACTTTTCCTGGCCAGTGAATCTCTATTTTTCTTTTCTTTTTTTTCTGTTTTTTCTATACACACACACACACCACCACATACTCCGGCATACACTGGCTGTTGGTAACCACCCAGGAGAATGAAAGAAAAGTCAGGAAGAGATCGAGAAAGAGAAGAAAGACGTGTGCGACCATAATCGTCGGGAATTGAACCCGCAACCTCTCGATTAGAAATCGACTGCACATACCACTGCCCCATATGGGACACACACACACACACACACACACACACACACACACACACACACACACACACACACACACACATATATATACGCACACACACATGCACACGCACACACACACATGCACACGCACACACACACATGCACACGCACACACACACATGCACACGCACACACACACATGCACACGCACACACACACCCCATCCCCGAAGCTCAAGTCCTCTGTGTCCGATACCACTAGCCATGCATCGACTAGGCACCATTCCAAACTGATTTGGGTGGTGAAGAGAAGAGCTCTGCACCCAATTGTAACTTTCCAGCTCAGAGAGCCTCTCCCGGCAGGCATGCATTTACCGCCATGTCACCAAGATAGTGTCTTTACCACCCTGTGATAATTCCCAAAACACAGCTGCAGTGGAGTCTTCAACACTGTTCTCTGGCACTAAGTACAGTATTGGCTGGTGCTGACTACGATCTGGGGATGCAGAGCCCTAGCCTAGGTCGTTCCCTCTTTCGTGTAGAACTTTCTTATAGTTAAGCCATCGTGTACACGAGGGTATCCTGCACCTGGTAAACTCTAGCCTATTCGTTCTTCGGCGCCCGACAGAACTGTGTGTGTACGTTCCCGAAGGGAACTCAAGACGGCCGCTAACACCCGGTAAACCCTGGCGGCAGATGCAGCGCCTAGCTGCGGGGGTGAGGAGATAAGTCTCACAACCACTGGCACAAGTGCCGAGAAACCGAATTAGCCGACAGTACTGTATAAGGCCATCATTTTTTATATCTATGTTTCGCGTCGTCCGCACGCATACGTTTTGATTTTTTTTCGGAAAAATAAAAAAAACGAACATGCACGGTGAGTGTACGATCGCACGATCCAGTACGAGTCATCAGTGTGGACTGGCTGCATACGGCGAAGCTGAGATTCAGAAATGGCCTTGAGGCCAGCGTTGGTAAATCGTCTGTTCGGCATCTGCGAGCAGTATTCTATGAGCTTACACCAGACCGCATCGATTACCTCAAGCTGAGAGGATGCGTCGTTCCGGAGGTCTTTGCACCGCTGCTGAAGTCTGAGTACAATAATCCAGCGAAGCATGGGCACCAACGGTTGCCTCCTCTGTCCAAAGTGAATATTTACTGGTGCTCAAAACTCCAAACCTTGTCCTTCGATGCACGACTTTTCTTTCGAATGTACAACATGAACGAGCTATTGTGCTATGTACAGTTCTAGCTAATTCTATACACCTCTGATGAGCTTTTTTATTATTTTGAAACTTTTTATTTTTTCCACCTCTCGCATATGATTCTGGAAGTTGAACTGACGCGAAACATAGATATAAAAAATGATGGCCTAAAAAAAATAAAAAAATACATTTAACGGTTCGCGTCAGACTGGGCTGGAGGCCAAGTTGTCCGCATCCGCATGAACGTCACCACCCCCCCCCCCCCCCCCCCCTCCATGGGTCAAGGGTGTATGGCTGGATAATGCCACACAAAGACAGGCGAGTAACAACAGCGTGCTGACATCTCACCGGTGCACTTCGATGCAGTGTTCCACGTTCCAGACGTCCGCGAGTCAGCCTGGCACAGTAGCTGCAGTCCGCTGGTTGCGCGGTATCCGTTATGGCAGGTGAAAACCAGGACGTCACCAACACGACGCTTTTTAGGATCCAGGATTTGGCCATCTCCGATATCCGGCAGTGAACAATACGTGGCCAATACTACAATAACAGTACATACAGCAGCAACAAGACTAAAACTATTCACAAGGAAATATATGGATATTCACTACAGTCCATTTCAAAACTATAGACGCGTAGGGTTTTTGAAATATTTCAAATTTGGCCGGAACTTTTTGAGAATAGTTTTCGGAATATTGCTCAGGACCGCTCCACAATTACTCTCATATAGTTTCTAAACGATTGGATAACAGACGCCCAATTTGGAAAAATGTATGCACAAAGTGATCACAGATTTTATGTGGTATAGATGCTGGCATAACGGTTTTTGCCTAGGTACGCGTCTATAGTTTTGAAATGGACTGTAGTTGAGGGAACGGAAAAGGGAAAAGTTTGAAGAAAACATTGACTGTCACCACCAGGACTTGGACCAGGGACTTTTGCTCGAGGCCAGAGATGCTCTAACCACTGAGCAATGGTGTAGCTGTCATCCCAGCAGAGACCGCTCAACTTTTTCTTCAGACTTCGAAATATATGGACATACACACTTTAGCAATGTGTATGTGTGATAGCCTAGCCATGTATTTCAAAGTTAAATTTTAAAAGTACGAAACCAAACGTCTAAATACGCACAAGCACCAACATGAGTGCCCGCACTCGCATGTCCGCATAGACGCACAGACACACATACACGCACACACATACGCACAAGCACCAACATGAGTGCCCGCACTCGCATATCCGCACAGACGCACATACGCATATACACATTTGTCTCATTCTTTCTTTCTCTCTCTCTCTGTCCCTTTCTTTCTCTCTCTCTCTGTCCTTTTCTTTCTCTCTCTCTCTCTGTCTCTTTCTCTCTCTCTCTCTCTCTCTCTCTCTCTCTCTCTCTCTCTCTCTCTCTCTCTCTCTCTCTCTCTCTCTCTCTCTCTCTCTCTCTCTCTCTCTCTCCCTCTCTCCCTCTCTCCCTCTCTCCCTCTCTCCCTCTCTCGCTCTCTCGCTCTCTCGCTCTCTCGCTCTCTCGCTCTCTCGCTCTCTCGCTCTCTCGCTCTCTCTCTCTCTCTCTCTCTCTCTCTCTCTCTCTCTCTCTCTCTCTCTCTCTCTCTCTCTCTCTCTCTCTCTCTCTCTCTCTCATTCACTGGTTTTTCGACCAGAAACCACCACCACCTCCACCAAAACACAAGAATGCAAATAAAAACCGTGCAGTGGAAAAACTCCGGGCTCACAGGCGTGATTTAAAGCGCCAATTTCGTAAGATCAAAAACCCGGACGAAGTACCTGCAGTGCTCAGAAATGAGTATTTTTCAATTGGAAAACAAATCAAGCGTCTTTTGAAACAACAAAAGATGTACGATGATCGATCCCGGAACAAGAGGGACCAGGATGCCTTTCTCAAGGACCCATATGCCTTCGGAAAGAAATTGTTTCAACCAACCAACCATGTCAAACCCACTTTCTCTGACACTACCTGCTTTGAGTACTTCCAACACACATATGCAGACCAGGATCGTGCCACTTCGTACGAATCCTGCCCCAGTGCAGGGAAGCCCCGGGATTGCACCCACCCAGTCGATGAGGGGACCCCTACATGGACTGAATTTCAGAATGTTTTGAAGAAGTGTCGCAACGCCTCTGCACCGGGTCCTGACAAGATACCTTACATAGTTTGGAAACTTTGTCCCTCCCTTCAATCCATTCTTTTCACCATCTTTGGGCGGGTTTGGGAGAGCAAGATCATTCCAAGGCAGTGGCAGGTAGCGTGTATCACACTCCTGGCCAAGGGGGAGGTGTCTGATGATCCTTCGAAATTCCGACCGATTGCTCTAGCGAACACGTCCGGGAAGATCTTTTTCACCTTAGTTGCAAAGCGCCTCTTGAAACATATGCTAGGCAATAAGTTCTTCGATGGTGACAACCAGAAAGGATTTATGCCTGCAAAGGCTGGGTGCTTAGAGCATACATCACTTTGTTATGAGGCGATGCGTGATGCAAAGACGGCAAAACGCCAAATTTGCATTGCGTGGATAGATTTGAAGAATGCATTTGGTTCAGTGCGCCACAATCTGATACAGTATGCTCTAACCCACTACAGCCTTCCTTTGCAATTCAGGAAATTAATTTTTTCCTACTACGACAGTCTTTGCGCTTTCGTCGTACAACCACACACCCCCACCTTTAATTACAACATTGGTGTTTTCCAGGGGTGCCCCTTGTCCCCGGTCCTTTTCAATATTTGTTTCCAGCTTCTGCTGGACTCACTTGCAGCCCCTGAATTAAGTTGCCTCTCCTATGATTTTAAATCTGCCCCTTTGCAAGTGTCCCAAACAGCTTTTGCTGATGACTTAGGCCTCTATAGCAAATCTAGTGCAGGTTGTCAAAAACTCATTGCGGTCACGGAGGACTTTCTCTCGTGGACCCAATGTATGCAGGCGGCGTCGCACAAATGCAAAAGCAGTGCAGCAAAGCTTGTAGATGGCCGGTACAAACCTTACGATCCCTGCCTGACAATGTCAGGGAGGAAGATCGCTTTCATTGACACTGCAGAGTTCAAGTTCCTGGGGCGAAGGCTGCATGCTGATTGCTCTGAGCAGACCCAGCGGGAAGACATCCGTCAACTCACTGTATCTCTCATGCAAAAAGTAGATGGCTCTTGGCTTCAAGACCACCACAAGCTATGGCTTTACCACCATCTTGTAGTGCCCAAGCTTTCTTGGTCTTTCCAGGTTCTTGAACTCACACAAGGTTTTGTACGTGAACTGCACTTTATGTGTTTACCATTTCTGAAGAAATGGTCAGGCCTACCTCGATGCGCAAACTCTGCCATTCTTTTTATTGGCAGTCGCAAACGCTTTGGCTTACGCCTCCACTACCTTCCTACGGTGTGGAAAAAGTGCCAGTCCATCAAATGGCACATTCTTCGATCGAGTGGGGACGCGCGCATGAGGGCGCTGTACACTCTGCGTCGGAGTAAGGATGCGAAGCTGACAAAGCGATATGCGGCGACAATAGAGCTGGAGTGTGCAGAGGCATCAGTAGGTTCAGGGACTCTCCGTCCACCGTCATCTTCAAGTCATCGTGCAGGGTTGGGTGCTCCTGCTCCGAAGCAGCATTCCAAACCCCCGAGGAAGGATCTCCTTCAAACATTTGAGGAGATCAACGCGCAGGAGCAGATTTTGAGGCTGAAGACTCTTCAGGTGCAAGGCAAGTGGTTGGAGTGGACATCGGTGATGTGGCAGCACCTCTCGTGGAAATCCCTTTTGTACGGTGGTACTGGTAAGTGTGATATCCGTACTAGTGAGCTACCTCACGTGATAGATCATTATCTTTCTACTCCTCTACTCTAAGTTGTATCAGCCGCGCATGCTTTTCCGTTGTGCTGCTGAGCTTCTCTGTCGTTCTAGTTCGGCGTTCTAGCTTTGATCTTGAAGTCAACAGTTCCCCTTTTGTCTTGTCCTGAACTGCTCTGGTGTGATCATAATATTTGGCGACGAAGTCCTTGATTCAGCTGCCACGATGAGCACAGTAAAATCATTGAACCCGTTTGATCTGGAACCGCCTGAGTCGGTTGGCCCTCGTTGGGAGAAATGGCTGGCTCGTTTCGATAATTATTTGATTGCAGCAAACATCACGGAAGACGAGCGGCAGAGAGCCCAGCTCTTGCACGGTGGCGGTGAGGACGTGTTTGACGTCTACCTCACCTTTGACAGCAGTAGCATTACAAGTTACGACGACTTGAAGGATGCTCTGACGGCTCACTTCAGTCCGAAGCGCAACAGGGAATACGAGGTCTACTTGTTCCGTCGTGAGAAACAATCTCAGTCGGAGACCCTTGATAGCTACGTAACTCGTCTTAGGCGTTTGGGCAAGCACTGTCAATTTGCAGATATGGACACAGAGCTAAAGTCTCAGGTCGTACAGCACTGTGTGTCGTCGAAGGTACGTGAAAAGGCTTTCATGGAGAGCAGCATGTCGTTGGCAGACCTCCTTACTTATGCACGTTCAGTGGAAGTCACGATGTCGTCTGTGGCAGCCATGGCCGGGGCCAGCAGCTTCAGCAAGCCTGAACATCCCCAAGTCCATAAAGTGGAGAGGCGACACCCATCAAGTCGTGACCAGCCCAGTCCTTCCAGTAAGGCCGTTCGCAAATGTAGCGGATGCGGGGGGAAATGGCACGACAACCGCTCGGATTGCCCAGCATGGGGCAAGACGTGCAAGTCCTGCAGCAGGTCGAATCATTTCGCAAAGGTATGCCGGTCGAAGGCTGTGCATCAGTTTTCCGAGCAGAGAGCCCCGGAGTTCGCATCACCTGACCAGACGGCGGAATACAGTGCGGAGCTGCACCACACCAGTTGCTCTGGTCATGTGCGTTCCAACGTGGATCCTTATATGTGTAGTGTGAGTCTGGCTGGCACCCCTGTTGTGTTTGAGATAGACACCGGAGCGGCAGTAACAATAATCAACAAAGCGGAGTACCAGACACTGGCGTCGAAAGATACCAAGCAGCAACTCCCCAGTCTGGAGACGAATGACCTGCCGAGCCTTAGGTCGTATGCTGGCAAGATCATACCAGTTATTGGTCGTCTCATCTGCAATGCCCGTCATGCGAAGAACTCGGCTCAGCTGACCATGTTTGTCGTCGAGGGTTCTGGTCCGAATCTGTTGGGTAGAGACGCGCTGCAGACGCTAAAGCTCAACTGGAACCGAGTCTTCAATGTCACCGGAGATCTGAGCAGTGACCTCCTGAGCAAGCATCCTGATGTTTTCAAGCCCGGACTAGGCACCTGGAAGCACGGCAGTGTCAAGCTTGCAGTCGACCGCAATGCTAGACCTCGCTTCCTGAAAGCTCGCTCTGTGCCTTATGCTCTACAGTCTGCCGTGGAGAAGGAGCTGGACAAACTAGTCGACAACAATGTCATTCAGCCAGTCGAATTCGCTGAGTGGGCAGCACCGATTGTGCCAGTTCTCAAGAGCAATGGCCAAGTCCGCATCTGTGGTGATTACAAGTGCACTGTTAACCAGGCAGCCAAGACAGATAAGTACCCATTGCCGAACATAGAGGATTTGTACGTGAAACTTGCTAATGGCTGTTGCTTCACCAAGCTGGACCTCAGTCAAGCTTATCTCCAATTACCACTGGATGAACAGTCTAAACTTCTTACCACCATCAACACCACGAAGGGACTGTTTGTGTACAACCGACTGCCTTTTGGTGTGTCTTCGGCCCCGAGCATATTTCAACGTACGCTCGACCAATTGCTAGCTGGAATACCAATGGTCGTGATCTACTTGGATGACATCCTTGTCTCTGGCACAACTCGTGAAGAACACGACAAACATCTGAACATGGTTCTGGAACGTCTCAACGCAGCTGGATTGCGTTTGAACCGCACCAAATGTTCATTTGCAAGGTCCTCTGTGACATTCTTAGGTCACATCATCGATGCATCTGGAATTAAGCCCACCAAGGAGAAAGTGCAAGATGTCATTGATGCAAGGGCTCCTACCGACGTCCAAGAGCTGAGAAGCTACCTCGGACTAATCAACTACTACCACAAGTTCATTCCTAACCTGAGCTCAGTACTTGCTCCGTTGTATGAACTATTGTCTTCCAAGAGTTGGGACTGGTCTCATCGTCAACAGTCCGCATTCGAGAGTAGCAAGACGCTGCTCATTGACTCACCCGTCCGTGTGCATTACGACCCTAAACTACCAATTATTGTGAGCTGTGATGCCTCACCGTACGGCATTGGTGCAGTTTTGTCGCATGTTGTCAATGGCGAGGAGCATCCGGTAATCTTCGCATCGCGTACCCTGTCGTCAGCAGAACGAAACTACGCACAGATTGAGAAGGAAGGCCTCGCCATGGTTTTCGCTGTCAAGCGATTCCACAAGTACCTGTATGGCCAATCATTCACTCTTCAAACAGACCACAAACCTCTGCTGGGTTTGTTCAGCGAGTGTCGGCCCGTTCCTGCTATGGCCAGCGGTCGTATTCAGCGTTGGGCGCTGATGTTAGCCAACTATGACTATGAGCTACAGTACAAGCCCGGCAAATCGAATGGAAACGCTGATGGTCTCAGTCGTCTGCCGGCACCAACGCCAGAATTCCAGGTTCCCGTGCCGGCTGAAACAGTTTTGTCAATGACTGTTTTGGACGGAACTCCCGTGACATCATCGAGCGTTGCGCAATGGTCTCGCCGTGATCCAGTACTTGCATTAGTTCTTAAGTACGTCCAGGAAGGCTGGCCTAACGACGTGCATAGTGATTACCAAGCGTACTACCGTCGTCGAAGTGAACTCTCCATCATCGATGGGTGCTTACTGTTGGGGTCTCGCGTTGTCATTCCGCCCCAAGGCCGAGAAAAGTTACTGGAAGAGTTACATTTCAGCCATCCCGGCATAACCAGAATGAAGTCGCTCGCCCGCAGCTACGTCTGGTGGCCATCGATCGATGCCGAAATTGAACTCAAGGTCCGCAGCTGTGAGCCATGTCAAGCAACCCAGAAGTCTCCAGCACTACAGCCATTGCATCCCTGGGAGTGGCCAGGCAAACCCTGGACCCGACTGCACATTGATTATGCAGGCCCTGTGGAAGGCAAGATGCTACTTGTGATCGTCGACAGCCACAGCAAGTACATCGACGTGCACGCCGTTCCATCTGCTACGTCGACAGCTACCATTGGCAAGCTTCGTGAGTGTTTCGCTACACATGGTCTTCCGCAACAGCTTGTCTCGGATAATGGCTCAGTGTTCACCAGCTCGGAGTTTCAACAATTCTGCTCAAGTAACGGTATCAAGCATACCTTGGTTTCACCCTACCACCCAGCAAGCAACGGTCTTGCTGAACGAGCAGTTCAAACAGTCAAATCCGGCTTGAAGAAATTGTCAGGTGCTGGTGGAGACCTAGCGTCACGGTTACACCGCTTTCTGTTTCATTATCGCTTAACGCCTCAGTCAAC